ACAGGCACACAGACACACAGACACATGCACACACACACAGACACACACACAGACAGGCACACAGACACACACACGCATGCACACACACACACAGACAGGCACACACACACACACACAGAGACACAGAGACAGGCACACAGACACATAGACCTAGAAGCTCCGTTGTACACACAACACTTTGGGCAGGCCAGCTGTCATCCCTCCCCCATCCCAACACACTACAGGGACTGAAAGCCTTCCAGCCCCTCTAGACCCTCATGAACTGGGAGTAGCAGAACTAGCTCCCTACCCACAGCACTTCCTGCCTGTGGTCCCAACTGGGCTGTGACCCCCGCCACCCACCGCCAGGACTGGCACCTCTCCGATCATCACACCTGGCTGGGGGGCAAAGCACAGCATAGCTAGCCATGATCTGATGGCCTTCCTGACAGAGATGAGCAGTGCCATCTCTCACAGGGCTCTGGACACAGATGCCAGGGAGCCAATGACTCTGCCCTGCCTCCAGCACCCACAAGGCCCTGGGCCCAGTCCTGGACCTAGCCAGAATTCCCTTCCTACTTCCCACAAGGGAGCCAGGTAGGCAGCCAAGGGGCTGCCCCATGTGGACCATTAGGAGGGGATCTGACTCAGTCTTTCTGTTCACACCTGATAGGTACTATTTGGGGCTATGAGGAGGGAGAGTTAGGGGGTAGCAGAGGAAATGAATATTTGGGGAGTTTGGACCTTGGGGTCAGGGGAGGCCTGTGGGGCATGGAGAGGGTGAAGCCAGGAGGAGGGGCTTTGAGGAACGGAAGGATCTCCTGGAACAACTTCCTCTTTACCGGCCTCAGCAGGGGACCCCACCAGCTGCCTGCCTAGCGAGCCAGCCATTCACCATCTGTCTGTCTACATGTCTATAGATATATAGATATATAATATGAATATATATTATATATAGTTACAAGAGAGACTCCCCTCCAAGCATGCACTGATTTACAAAGGAGGTGCACAGGGGGGCTGCTCGATGCCCCACGTGCCCCACTTCCCTACAGTGGCAGGACTATTTTTTCCGAGCCAAGAAAGCCAGCCCCAGAACCACTGCCAGGGCAGCCACGGCCACCCCACCAGCCAGGAGCAGTGGTTTCAGGTTCTCAAAGGCGCTAAGGCCTCCAGCCGGTGCAGCTGCCTCCTCTTCCTCAGCGCCATCTCCAGGGCCCTTTGGCTCCGAGCCAGCAGGGGGGCTGGGGGCTGAAGGGGCTCCTGGATCGGGCTTCAGGTTGCTGTGGCTGTTGAGCAGAGCTGGGTCGGCAGATGCCTGGGCCTTCTTGGGGGGCGCTGGAGGTGTAGATGGCTGCTCTCTCTTCTCTGGAGCCTCCTTCTTCTCGGTCTTGGCTGAGGCGGTGGCAGGAGCTGGCGAGGACTTGGACTCAGACTTGGGACCGCTGGCAGGCCTCCCCTTGGCCTCCATGTTGGGCTGGGCTAGCCTGGGCCAGGCCTCACTAAGGACTGTGGGTGGTCTGCAAGGGCAGGGCTGGAGGAAGGCAGATGTGGCTCAGTCAAGAGGGTCCCTGGGCATGGCACAAAACCTGCAGAAGAGGTAGAGAGTCAGTGAATCGGAGGCTGGGCACTTGTGGGAACTGCTGACCTGCCTGTCCATATGTGGAGCCCAGCCTGGGAGCCAGGGCTCTTCCCTGCCTTAATGATCAGGTCCCTGGCCCTTTCTGGGTTTTTACTTCCCTCACAGAAAGCCTTGTCGGGGAATCTACCAGGTGGGAGAAGGACAGCATCCTCTTGGAGCAGTTGAGAGCCAAGAGGGACTGAGCCCTACTGGCACAGGGCCCCTTCCCTCCAAGGCAGACTTCTTTACATACGGGGGCTAGGACATTGCCCTCACCCACGCCCGCTCTTAACTTCTCTCCTGCTCGGGGAGAATCTGTCTCCCCAGATGTTCTAGGTGGTCCCTTGGGTCCCTTCTAGTTGGGGTACTCTATGGTCCTAAGTACTGATAGAGGCTCCCCACACTCCTACCCCTGAGTCAACCATATTTATGGGAAGACCTAGGCCCTGCCCTCAGGAGCCCACACTCTTCAGTCATGGAACAGAGCGGCACCAGGGCTTGGCTGGGGCCCATGCCACCCAGGCTGCAGGAGCTCAGAGGGCAGAGGGTGACAAAGGTGACAGAAACAAAGGTGCCCATCACAGGATGGGCAGGAAGGAGGACATTCTGAATGGGAGCTCTGAGGTGGGAATGTCAGGTGTGTTTGGGGGACTGGGAGAAGAGCAGAGGCTGGAAGAAATGATGTGTGTGTACAGATGGGCGCAGTGGGGAGGACACGGGATGTGTGTACAGATGTGCGCATGTGGGGAGGACACGGGATGTGTGTGTACAGATGGGC